AAATAAATACATATGCAGATGAAAAGTACACTTTTTAATGCATAAGATTGTGCTATATTATTTGAAAGGATATAGTATATTGTATTTTAGTATAAACATTAAATATTTTTATTGTGTTTAGTGTGCATATTAAACAATACTTTACTTTATAATTACTAAAATTCATATAATTAAAGTAAGATAATGGTTAAAAAAAATTATGATGGACAGCTTAAACACATAAGATTAGGTATATATATATATATATATTTTCAAATCTATTAGTGTTAAATGTCATTATCACATAGCACCCTAAAGATAGTGCTAAAGAAATTTGGAAGAATATAAAATTATAATCTATACTTTATGAAAAGAATTTGGAAGAATAAATTTTAAACTATAGTTTGAAAATCAACTTCATGAAAAGGATAAATGTATTAAATTCTTTGCCGAATCATTAATGTTTGGCCCAAATTAATTGAAAAAAAAAAGTCAACAAAGAGTTGAGTATAATTTAAGGGCAAGCCATCTTTATTAAAATAGCAAAAATTCTAAATATCAAGAGCTAGCCAATCTCCATATGCCACATCGTGCGATTTAGAAGATTCTCACTTTAATAACAAGTAAAAGTTTATTCTGCTAATTAACATGGAAGACCAGTCAGACTCTTAAGTCAACTTCATCTCCGAACCCGACGGACCAAAGAAACCAGTTAAAACACCACACACACACCCTCTATATATATATATATTATATTATATAATATATATTATATATATGAATATGATAGAGTGTGATCAAATTAAGAAATAAAATTAATATAAATATATCTAGTTAAAACAAAAAATAAAGGTAATTAATGAAATTTTTTTATAGGGTCACTAGCCCACTCTTACGATGTGAGTCTGTCTTTGTCCAAACCAAGGGCAATCACAAACAATAAAAAAAAAATTTAATTAAATTCAAATTTAATAGGCATTTGTTTTTGTGTAAATTTTAATCCAATTCAGTTTTTTTTCTTTTTTTTTTTTGAGTTGTAATTAGTCAAGTTCAGTCCAACGCAATTTTAGTAAAGAAGAAAAGATTCAATACTAATTCAATTTCAAGTGTGATGTCATTGTTAAGTGGATTGAAATCTGATTAATCTAATCTAAATAAATTAAATTAAGTTCATGAGCCAAATAAGAGTTAATCGCTATGAGGTATATGATATAATAATAAAATTCCCTTGAAGTTTTTGAAATAATAAAAATATTTCTGCTATTAAGATTTAAGTGTTAAAATAAATGGTAAGAGGATAATTTAATAATATTTATTAATTTATAATAGTCTAAATTTTAATAACCCATTAAAAACTTTTTATGAACTTATATCTTAAAACTTGATATTGATTTTATAGAACAAACTCTTTTTTCTCTTCAAATCTTATTTCTCAAAATATAATATGAAAACGATACTGAACGAATTCCCAAGAAGAAGACAAATTTTCACCAATGGACAAAAAATAAAAATATATATTGATTTTGGAATTAATATAAGGCGTTGGATGACAGAATCATAAAATCATGGATGACTTCATGGATGGTGCAGAAAGATACTGTTGTGGAAGCTATGAATAAAAATCACATGACTCACATAAATTTACAAATATTATATATCTCCACATGTATCCAACGTAAGAAGAATCTATTTACAGAACAGAAAGCTCATTCAAATCCAAGCAAAAATATTGTGCGGAAACAAAGCCGGGCTCAAAGCTCAGGAAAAACACAATAATCCCAACCTGAGTACCGCACCTAGCCAACCAAGCAAAAACGCTTAAAAGGATGCACGTCAGCACGAAGCGACAAGACACATGTCAACAAGACTAAGCTTAGCTCTACACCTGACAAATCCACTAATCTACATGAACTCCTCGTGCAATACATGCAATTGTATCATCTAACCAAGCGATGACTCTCCGATAGACTCCGATTAATTACAACTATAACCATGAGTAAGTATAATTATCACTTGACCACCTCGATCGCCCAAATTGTGTCAGCGGAGAAAACAATCATTCTGTTGACGCAAAACCCCACTAGTTACAGTCATCTCCACTCTTATAAATACCAAATTAAGTTCCCAAAAAAAGGAGATAGAGAGAGGGAGATCGGGGGAAAGAAGAAAAAAAAAAAAAAAAGGAAAGAAAGGAGATTAGTGGGAGAAAATAGAGCAGAACTCTCTGCACATTCTGTATAAGAAAATCACTGTAATCATTCACTTTAGAGAAGAAAAAGGATACAATGGACGTAGGCTTAAATATATTGCTCGGTTGAACCACTTAATAAAGCTTGCTTCCCTATCTCTATTATTCACGAAATCCTCTCATGACTCCTACCTCATTCCCATCATTCGTGTCTCTTACACTGATTCACAGGAATCACACATACATCTTACTCGATTCTCTTAAGAATCAACCAAGTATCTTTGATTAACGTGTGTTTATGTCTCAACGATTTAGTAGGTACGAAAATTTGCATCAACATAAACAAAAAACGAAAATCAATAGAACTTGAAATGCAAGTGCAATAACAAAAACAATAGTCGATGAGCATTATACTTCTATTAACATAACGATGTTAAGAATTTTTTTAATGTTTCTTCTTATTGTATCTTATGCGTATATAATATTACTAAATTCGTTAATTATTTGTATAGTTGTATTATGTTCTTGAGTTAATTGTTTGTAAATATTTTTTTTAGCTTTAATTTTTTTGAACTTTCAATTTGAATGTCTAAGATTTGTTTTAGGATTATGATTTTATAAGAATTAAGGCTGTATTAACAACTATATTACAATTTTCTTCTTAATCATCAAAATATTTTTCCTTTAAATCGTTTTACATGCTTCGTATGATACTATGATTATTAATTGACACTGCATTACATGCATTAATTCTAAAAACTTTGGGATGATTATCCCCCTATTTTTTTTCCTTGATCTTGAAAAAAGTAAAGCACATGTGTTTTTATATATTGCATTTCTTTTTTGTGACTGGAAATTAATAATTAGTTAAAGGGAATTGCTATTGAAAAAATGATAAAGACATAGTCTCGAGGAGTTAACTTCAACAACCATTAAAAAAAACTACCTATAATTGATCGAGTTGTTCGATAGGGGCTCTTAGGTGTATTACTTAAGAGGTCCTAAATTCGAGTTTTTCATCGATTGTTAATAGGGCTAATCATTGAAGCTCTTACTTGACCATTAGTTCCAAGGTCTGAAAGATTAATTGAGGTGCGTGTAAGCTAGTCCGAATACTTCAGATCATAAAAAAAATAATAAAAATAAAAATTCAACAACCATTCAAAGGAGGACTATGATCTAATTTCCAAGATTTTTTGTGCGGTCATTGCTTTTCGTTATTCAGATGTGTTGAAATTTTAATACCAATAAGCAACAACACAGTAGCAGCAAAACAGTGGAAGAACAGCAACAAAACAGCAGGAAAACAGCAGTGAGAACAGTTGGAAAAATGGCAGCAAGACAGCAGTGAGAATAGCAGGAAAACAGCAGCTAGCAGGAAAACAGCAGTAAAACAGTAACGATAGAGTAGTGAAACAGCAACGAACACTGCAGTGAAACAGCAGCAAAACAACAACGAACACTGCAGCGAAACAGCAGCAAAACAACAACAAGCCTGCAAAAACACTAGCCTTAAGATCAAAATTCCGCCCCTACCGGAAGAATCTTCATGGTGCAAAAAGACTCAACAGCAGACTGACCTCCAGGATACAATGACGAATCTCTTTTTAGAGTGTACTCTTCAAGAGAGATTTAGAACAGAATAAGGAAAAGTAACAGTGGTGAAGGAAAGCTGGAAAGTTAAAAAACACAGAGGAAACAAGGATTTTTCAAGTGAAAATTGTGTTCTTCAAATGAGAAAACCACCCCTTTTTATACTTGAAAATCTACCCATTTTCCCTTAACTCATTCTTACTGTAACTGAAGTCAATCAATTGCTTTTAAAACCATAACTACCCAAGAATGATTTGAATTGCAATAATTGCAGCAATTCAATTGCTTTTAATATATAACAGTCCAAAAAGCAATTAAAATATTCAATTGCTTTTAACACATAACAATCCAAAAGCAATTAAAACTTGGTATTTTGAAATACCATAAGAGCAACTATTATCACAAGATGTATAAGCCGAAAATAGGAGTAATTGTTTTCCCAACTATTCTTTACAGACATATGGTTTAGTTATTGAATTTAGTTATTATTAACTTCAATTTATCAATTATATATTGATAGTCATGTTATTCAAAAGATAATCGTTTTTTAATTACAGCATTTGAATTGTTAAATACTGGAATGGGAATCATGCTCCCTTTGGTTGATAATTAAGGATTAAAATTTAAATCTTATGAATATTACAATGTGAATATCTACAACAAAATTCAACGATATTTTAGTTAATTAGTTCAATATTTTAGAATAGAAATTTCCTACGACAAAACTCAACAATGTTTAGTTTATTAGTTCAATGTGATAACAAGGGCAAGCATATCGGCACATCAACTACATGGAAGAAATATTTAGATTCTCATCCATGGCAAGCCTGAGTTCGTTCATTTTTGTCATAATTTTGGGTGCAATAAGTCTCAACCCAAGAGCTTGCAATGGTCAAGCGCATAAGCTTTTGTTCGTGTTTGGAGACTCATCGTTTGATGCAGGACTAACAAGTTCTTAATGGTACCATGAGAGTTGCACAGCATACATCCCTATGGAATAACTTTCCACAATCAATCCACTGGAAGAGTATCGGATGGTCTCAAATCCTGATTTATATCGGTAAATACATAAAATGCATGCTTCAAGTAAAATTATATATATATATATATATATAATATATTATTTTTTTTTTTTCACTTTCTCTCCAGTTTTTGGATGAAGAAAAAGATAAGAATTAGAATTAAGAATGTAATTATATTGTGGTTCCACCATACCTACAACCAGGAGCAAACTTTAGCGATGGAGTTAGCTTTGCTTCAACTGGATCAGGTGTTTTTGACACCATACCCGGCGTGGTATGTGTATCGTTTCTTTTTCTCTCTTTTGACGCAATTAATAATTAGGTTGATCTTGGACATTAACAGTTAATTAATCAAGCATGATTTACAGATAAGCCTTCTAGGGCAACTAGCCAATTTCAAGAAGGTGGCAAGTTCATTGGACAAGGAGGTCTTAATGAGATCTGTTTTCTTGTTTAGCATGGGAGGGAATGATTACTTAATCTTCAACTTAAAAAACCCTAATGCTACTATAGCTGAACGACGAAAATTCCAAAGGATGGTGATTGGCAATTCAACTAATACACTCCAGGTATAAAATCAGTAGTAATCTCTCAATCAATCAATTACATTACAATTTAAAGAACATTTTTTCTTAATTTTGTGGCCTTTCAATTCCTTGCAGGAAATATATGAGCTAGGTGGAAGGAAATTTGCGTTCAAGAATGTTGCACCGGCGGGTTGTTTGCCATTGATTAAACAAGTTTATCATCAGTTCAACGGAAGTTGTAATAAAAAGTATTTACTACCTAGAAGAATGCAGAACAAAGCTCTCTCAAACACGTTTAACTAGTTTCTAATATTCTATATTTGATCATTATAACGCACTTCTTGATAGAATTACCAATGCTTCAAAACATGGTATGATTAACTTTGACTGGTTCGAAATTATGTCCTAATTGATACAATTAATTTATATTTAAACTAAATATTTAATTGCATGAAGGTTTTAAAGAAAGGATGATAGCATGCTGTGGCACTGGGCAATTTAATGGACAAAATTGTGGAGGGGGAGTTACGGGAACAAATGATTATGAGTAATGTTACCGTCCCTGAAAGCTGTATATCGAATTTATGTACTGAATGATGTAGCGAAATCCTGACCGTCGATTAATATTAATTCATAATTAATCGACGGTCAGGATTTCTATTAATTTATAATTAATCGACGGTCAAGATTTTGTCACGTTATTTGGTGCATAAATTCGGTATACAACTTTTGGTGACTGTATTATTTCCCAATGATTATAATCTCTACTCAAATCCTAGTGAGTATGTGTTCTTTGATAGAGGCCACACCACAGAAAGGGCGAACAGTCAATTGGCTGAGCTTATGTGGAGCGGATTACCAAATGTCACAGGGCCTTACAATGTGAAGCAATTGTTTGAACTTCCATAATTCATTAGATTATTTCTACACAAGATTATTTATTATGATTTGTTTGGTCGATCTATTAAATAAATTGTGTATGAATTGATATATTCTTTATAAACATAATCAAATTCAGTTATTCAAATCTATTCAATAAATAAATAAATTGATTCAATACTATACAATAGTTTTCAGATTAAAAAACAAGTGCCACCTTATAAGACTAACTCCCATAGCATGCTCGGACCGGGCCGAGGCCGATCCCTCCTCTTGGGCCAGGTCTGTTAATTTTTTAAACTCCCCACCCCCCAAATTACATAAACCCCTAAAAAATATCAAAAACCCCTTATAATAATTGAAATACATAATAAATTTAGTTGGTAAAATGTAATTTATAAAAAGAAAATTTCCAGATCAGTCCTAGGACCAGTCCTATAGGCCCATGACCGGTCCTAAGACTGGTCTAGGCCCTAGGAAAACCATGGGCCTAGGACCAGTCCGGGCCCTAGGAAAACTCATAGGCCTAGGACGATCCTTCAGGATTTGGGCTCGGGATTGACTGGGCCCAGGCCTTGCCCACCTCTAAATAATTTATACGTCAGAGAATCTTAAACTATGGTCAAATACCCATAAATATTCTGTTGGTCATATACAGTAAGTATTAATTATATAGTTTATACACAACAACGCGAGTGGAGTACACTTACTTTTTTATTGGCTTGTTGTATGAAAGATATTTTCCTTTTTTCCTATATAAGACTTTAATTAATTAGGTGGAACTCTAAGAATATCTAATCCAACTACTCCGAAACAAGTTTATGTGTCAGATAAACAAAATATATTTAATTACCATTCTTTTTTTAGGTCTCTACTGACTTTGATGATTATCTAGAGTTATGAAATCATGCATTTTTATTTAGTTAATGTAGAATCCTCAAATACCTTAAGTATTTGAAAATGTAATGAAACAATACCAAGAAATTGGATCTGACTCTGCTAACAATATCCGCTAGGATTTTTCTAAAACCTTGACACAGTAGCCTCATGGAAAAGATGTAAAGAACCATTATTATCCCTAGTAAATTTTGCTACTGATAAATTCTTTGTTATTATCACTTTGTTTTGGTAACAAATTATATATTTAATAAGGCCGAACAACATCCTCCCACCCAAACTTTGTCTTAACGGAAATTTACAATCCAAAAAGTTTGAAAACAACAATTACCCACTTTCTGTAAGAATCTGTTAATAAAATCCGTTTGAAGAAGGACAAGATGGTAATCTTTTTCTCCCAAATCGAGACTAATTAAGGTTATTACATATAAATATTGCTCGTCTCATTAATTATNTTTGATTGAATAATAATATAATATTTAGTTATTTACTTCAATTATCAAGTTCTAAGTATATCTGTAGTAAATTAGTAATTAATTAATTATATAACATAAATTGATAAACATTAATACATTACTAGCTAAATAATTACTTAATCAATTATAACATTACATTATAGTTAAATGATTACTTAATTAATTATAAATTTATAACATTACATTAGTAATTTAGTAAATCACTTAATTAAATAATTAGAAATTTAATTAATTATAACATTAAATTATAAAAAAATAATTACTTAATTAAATGATTAAAAATTTAATTAATTATAATATTACATTAAAGATTTATAGTATGATTACTTAATTCATTATAACATTACATTATAGTATGATTACATAATTAATTATAACATTACATAGTTAAATGATTACTTAATTAACTATGACATATATTATAAACATGAGTAATTTACTATATTTGCACAATACTTAATTAAATGATTAGAAATTTAATTAATTATAATATTACATTATAAATTTATAGTATGATTACTTAATTAATTATAACATTACGTTATAAACAAATAATTACTTAATTAAATGATTAGAAATTTAATTGATTACAATATTATATTAAAGATTTATAGTATAATTACTTAATTCATTATAACATTACATTATAGTATGACCACATAATTAATTATAACATTATATAAAGAAATGATTACTTAATTAATCATGACATTATATTATAAACGTTAGTAATTTACAGAGGTGGTTAAGGACCGGTCCCAAGTAGGCCTGGGCCTAGGCCCATTGGGACTGGTCCTTTTGGGACCAGTCGCTCATGGGCCTGGGATCGGTCCCAAGCCCATGAGCAATTTTAGGACCCGGACCGATCCTATGGGCCTACAAAATTTATTTTTCCCCTTGATCGTTTTTTCTATTTTAGGGGCGAAATGAAATTCTGTAGGGGGTTTTTACTCATTTTTAGGGGTAGATTAGTAAGTTTCTAAAAGTTTAATTAATTTTAAAAAATTATAAATAAATAAATAAATAAATAGTTAATTTTAACATAAATGTAATATTCACATTTTACACATTCACGTTTCACAAATAAACAATTAAATAAATTTTTTATTAAATTATTCATCTTCATCGTCAACAATATTTAAATAATTCAAATCTGTATTCCTAAAGAGTTCGAGTAGTTCGAGATCTTCAAGGTGCTGTTGTAGTATTCTTTATAAATGAATCCAATCACATAAACACGTTATCACTTCAATCATCTCATCGGTTAAAGAACATCTTCTGTTTTCAACAATCCGACCACTCGTTGAAAATGTTGAGTCGGATGCAATTGTAGAAACCGGCACAGATAAAATGTCAAGTGCCATTTGGGCTACAATGAGGAATCGATTTTCATGTTGGTTCCACCATTGAAGAATATCCATGTCACGTTTCTCCTTCATCGTCATGAAGGACAAGTCCACTTGTAGGTAGCGATTCAGCTCATTTGGTCCATGTATGTATGAGTTGGAGTTGCTACTTCTGCCATGTTCCATATACATCTACTTGCTCGATCCTTGACGGAGGTCTTGTAATGCCCCACTTGAGGTACGTAGTTCAATTATGTTGTATTGCTTGAATGTTTATTGATTTGTTCTCATTTGAGCTTGCACGTTGTCATTTTGGTTGGTTGGCCCTTGGTTGAGTGTTTGCCTTGATTTTGGTTGAGTTTTGGTGAAATTTGGAATGTCGGTCTTCGCCGCGGCGATGTTGGCTTTGTAAATGCGGTGTCGGTTTTGTAATTTTTTGTCGGGGCGATGGAAAGTTCTTCGCCGTGGCGACGGGTTGGCAGAAAAGTTTCTTGAGGTTTCTAGAGAATTCTCCATAGGGGTAAAATGACCTTTCTACCCTTAATTAGCAGGAAGAGTGGGGAGTGAATTGTAAGAAAATTTTATGGAGAATATGTTAGAGTGGGGGTGTGATTGTAATGATTTAAAGGACAAGGATGGAGTTTTCAAGAAAAAGTAAGGGCAATATAGGAATGAATGAAGATATTTTGAGCTAAAAAGGGGTTAAGCTTAGTGAACCCTTCATTCTTCATCTTCCACCGCCTCTTCCATTCTCCATTTCCTCTCAACTTTCCCTTCAACCTTTCAAGAATTTTAGAGGGTTTTTTGAGTAGTTTGGGGTAGAAAATCAATCTAAGGCATCCTAAGGTAAGGATCCTTGCTTTAGATGTGAAGTTTTGCATATATTGTATATTGAAGTCTTATGGTGTTATTGTTTAAAGGGTAGAGAAGAGACAAACATTGTAAAGGAAAGGAAAGTGCTAGTGAGATCTCTCTATTATAAGGTAAGTAAATCCCAACCCAAGTTGAGATTTGAGAACTTTCTTGAGTAGAGATTGAATAGAAATTATGTATGCATGTTGTATGTTTTGTTATTGAGATTTGAGATGGAAATGACTATTTGCTTTGTAGTTCTTAAATACACTTCAATTATGAGAATTGAGATGTGTGTTGGGCATGTAGTTTGAGATGAAATTGGAGAAGATTGAGAAATCTTTTTGGAAGTGTTATTTTATGACAGGAATTATAACTTTGTGAGGGAGTTTCCTCCCATTTTGGATGGTTCAAGAGAGGAGTGGAACCATAGATAAAGTAGAGTTTATGTATGCACATTAGTTGTTTGATGAAATGCCTACGAGAATCATAAGCATGGGTAGTAAACCTTAATTCTTGCAACATTACATGTTGGCATTTCATGAGTGCATTAGTGGAGAAGAACCATCCATATGCATTAATCGTGCATTGAGTAGTGGCCTGAGAAAGAGTAGAGAACTTTGTGAATGAACTACTCTAAAGTAGAGAGAACGAGAAAAACACTAAGCGGGTTGGTGCTTTGTGATCTCCACCCGATAGTTACTAAAAGCGGGTTGGTGCTTTGTGATCTCCACCCGGTAGTTACTAAGAGCGGGTTGGTGCTTTGTGAACTCCACCCGACAGTCACGAAGAGTGGGTTGGTGCTGTGTGAACTCCACCCGGCCGTGCCTCCGATAAGATGAGGCCGTGACATATAGCAGAAGTTAAGTAAAGAGAGCCGTGTGAAAGAGAAATAGAAAAGTGTAAAGAAAGAATTAAGAGAAAGAGTTACGGGGACAGTCGAGTAGAGGATTTACTTACTGAACATTATTTTGTGCTCACCCCGTTGTTTTTCTTTGTGGTTGCAGGATCTAAGTGAGAACACAGTCGTATAGGCGTCGGCTAGCGAGGAGTAATGGCTACATTGTCCACTGTTCTAATGGCATTTTGTAAATGATATCT